AAGAAGGCTTCCTGCGAGGAGCCCTGCGTGTGCTCTTTATTTGGGGCTCCTCGAGGTGTTTACCGTATTTACTCAGCTCCTCGGGTGCATGGGACAAGTCCTCCAGTGTTTGCCATGTGTTGCCCGAGTGTGGGTAACCAACCCACTTGACATAAAACCGAAGTGACCCATCAGCCACTTTCTTGTGCCTCACGATCCTTTCGACTTCATATTCTTGAGTATAGTATTGTCCGAGGTCGTCTTCCAGTGGTGCGTCGTCCGGGACACCTTCGTCGGCGTCGGGGAACTGTGCTGGACTGCGGGTCGTGTGGCGACGCAGCTTGGACACATGGAAGACAGGATGGAGCTTGCTTCCAGGTGGCAAGTCCAACAGGTAGTTGAGGGGACTGGGTCGGGCCGCTATCTTGAACGGTCCTCGGTACTTGGGCAACAACTTCTTTGACTGGGCTTCGGGGACCTTGATGTTGTCGGCGTCCAGGTAGACAAGGTCTCCACTTCAAAGGAGACATCCTGGTGTCGGCGGTCGTAGTACTTCGCCATCACTTGTTGCGCATCCGTGAGCGCGTCGGCGATCATCTTGTGTCGGACTTGATGATCTTTGACAAAGGCACTTGGTTTGGGAGGCAATCCAGCCGTGGACTCGGTCAGTGTCAAGGAGGTGGGAACATCAGGCTGGAATCCGTAGAGCGCCTCAAAGGGGCTCAAGCCAGTTGTGCTCGACTTGGCGGTGTTGTATGCAAACTCTGCATGACTCAGCTGTATGTCCCAGTCGTCTTGGCTGGTCGAGGCGTATGTCCTCAGGTATTGCTCGAGGGTGCGGATCGTCCGCTCGGACTGTCCATCCGTTTGTTGGTGGTGCGAGGTTGACATGTTCAGCTTGGTGCCGAGATGGTCGAACAGACTTGTCCAAAACAAGGAGGTGAATCGGGGGTCTCGATCACTGACGATGGACTTGGGGAGGCCGTGGTGCTTGAACACATGCTTGAAGAACAGCAGTGCAAGGTCAGGCGCGGAGCATGTCGTCTGGCACGGCACAAAGTGTGCCATCTTGCTGAACCTGTCGACAAAGACAGCGATTGCATCGTGGTCCAACTTGGTCGTCGGTAGATGCGTGATGAGATCCATGGACATGCTGGTCCAGGGGCGGTCGGGAACAGGCAGGGGTTGCAGCAATCCTTGCTCTCGGGTCGTGCGTGACTTGACCATCTTGCAGGTATGGCAGGACTCGATGTACTTCTCGACGGTGCGCTTCATTCCAGGCCAGTATGCGACTTTGGCCAGTCGGTCGTATGTCTTCTCGACTCCAAAGTGTCCAGCGAGGGGCGAGTCGTGGACCTCTTGGAGCAACTTGGTCTTCAACGACGGAATGTCCGGCACACAGACACGGCTGTCCTTCTTCAGGAGGAGCAGGCCATCACGCACTGTGTACTCGGATGATTCGTCGTCCTTGGGGAGCTTAGACACCTTTCGGAACAGTTCTCCGAACTGTTTGTCGTTGGCGATGTTGTCTCGGACAACATCCAGCATCGTGTTGTCGACACTGACAGTCGACTCGTACAGTGACGCCAATTGGTAGTCGGGGCGTCGGGACAGTGCGTCAGGCACCACATTGAGTTTGCCTTTCTGGTATACAACCTCGTAGTTGTACTCGGCGAGGAACTCCATCCATCGCGCTTGGCGTCGGCTCAGGTTCTTCTTGGTGTCGAGGTAACGCAGTGACTGGTGGTCCGTCACAATCTTGAAGGGCTTGGCGGTACCGTGGAGGTACACTCGGAACTTCTGCAGCGCGTAGATGATCGCAAGCTGCTCCTTCTCGTGCACGGGATAGTTGATCTCGTGTTGGGACAGTTTGCGCGACTCGAAGGCAACGGGCCTTCCCTCCTGCATCAAAACAGCTCCCACCGCAAAGTCGGAGGCGTCGGTGTGCACGGAGACATCCGTGTTCGGGTCGAACACAGCGAGGACAGGAGCGTTCGTCAAGGCGTGCTTGAGGGTCTCGAACGCTTGGCGTTGTGGGTGGTCCCACACGAAGGGGCACTCTTTGCGGAGTAGGTCTGTGAGTGGACCGGCAGTGCGCGCCAGATCGGGGATGAATCGGCGGTAGTAGTTGACGAGACCGAGAAACGACTGCACGTCAGAGACGCATGCGAGCGGCGGCCACTCGACCACAGACTTGACCTTGGCGGGGTCGACTTCGATTCCTCTTCCTGAGACAACGTGTCCCAGGAACGGGACTTGATTCTTGAAGAACTCACACTTGGACAGTTTGGCATACAACTTGTGCTCGCGTAGCTTGGCCAGCACGCGGGCGACATGACCTTCATGGGTCGCTTCATCCTTGCTGTACACAAGGATATCATCCAGGTACACGATGACAGAGTTGTCGAGCTCTTGGCGGAACACATCGTTCATCAGCTGCATGAACGTGGCAGGTGCGTTCGTCAATCCGAACGGCAGCACTAGGAACTCGTACAGTCCGTAGCGAGTCCTGAAGGCGGTCTTGTGGACATCATCCTCGTGGATGCGGATCTGATGGTAGCCTGAGCGGAGGTCTATCTTGCTAAAGACCTTTGCTCCACTCAGACGATCCATCAACTCGTCGATCCTGGGCAACGGGTAGGTGTTCTTGATGGTCTGTTTGTTTAGTGCGCGATAGTCGACGCACATCCTGAGATCACCTTCTTTCTTCTTGACAAAGAGCACTGGTGCACCATACGGTGACTGGCTCGGGCGGATGAACCCATGGGCGAGGAGGTCATCCAACTGGCGCTTGAGTTCGTCCATCTCCGTCAGCGACAGTTGGTACGTCGGTCTTGACGGAGGCGACGAGCCTGGTTCGATGTCGATGCGATGATCGACGGTGCGTTGGGGTGGCAGGCATTGTGGCAACTGGTCGGGGAATACGTCCTTGTACTCGTCGAGCAGCTTGGTCACCACAGGCGGGGGACCGGGACCGGCTTGGTCGGTGTCGTCGACCTCACGCACGACACAGAGGAACGACGTGTCCTTCTTGATCAGCCTCTTGAATTGCATGGCTGAGAGGAGAGGTGGCATGTTGGGTGAGGCCATGCCCTGCAGGACAATGTCAGGGCCAACACGGACAGTGCGGCCTTTCCAGTCGACGACTGGAGTCGGCTCGGCACGAGCAAGCCAGCTCATGCCGAGGATGGCATCGAACTTGGTGTCGATCACTTGGAACAACAGGACAGGATGGTACTTGGGATGGAGGGCCACTCGCAGGACCACTTGGTGTGTGCACTGCTGCACACGATCGTCTGCAAGCGCCACACTCATCGGCGACTTCTTCTTGGTTGCATGTATGTTGAGCTCCTGGAGCAAGCGTCTGCTGACAAAGTTGCAGCTTGCTCCAGAGTCCACCATCATTCGGACGGTGTGACCTTGGACGGTGGCAGGGAGGTACAGCAGGGACTCTTCATGGTCCTCCTGCACAGCCTCCTGCACCATGACTTGACTTGGGGGAACGGGCGACACTTGGTCTTGGTTGGCTTCATCACGGCCACTCGGACATTTTGGATAGGGTTCGGCCATTGCGGGGGCCTGCGGCGTCAGCACGCCATTGCACACGACGTCCACGGCTTGCGGACACATGTCGGAAGCATCCGACACACACGACTTGACAGGGGTGAGGGCACAGGCGGTCCTGTCCCTCAAGGGTTCTTGATTTTCTTTTTTGTTTTGGTTTTCAATTTTGGTTTTCTCTTCACGTTCGTGGAGAGGCAGGCGGCTTGCGCCACCATGCACCTCTCGCACGACGCACAACACTTGGTTTGTTTCTCCTTCGGGGGAGGGGGCGAGGTGAACTTCCTCTGGAGACGCGTGGACTGCATTGAGCAATCCACGGCGTTGGTCTCCTACTAGGGCTCCAGAGCCACCTAGTAGGGTCGGCCGTTTCCCGACTTCATGGGGCACTCCTTGGCCTGGTGTCCCGGTCGGTGACAGAAGAAGCAGGAACCATGGCGGAGGTCCTCCTGCTTCTGTCTGTCCTTGGGGGAGACAGTGGCAGCTTGCTGGAACCGGGAGCGGGGAGGGCCACGAGCCTCCATGGCGTTGACGTCAACGTCCATGGGCTCAGGCATGGGTCTTGCGGGCGGGGCCGGGCGAGGCGGACGGGCTGGGACGTGATGAGACCGATGGCCGCCTGCCAGCTGCGGGTAGAACTGGCGGCCATGGTACTGGACGTTGTCGAGGTTCTCGGCAACGTCCATCATCACGTCCAGGGACTTGCGGGCATCAGGGTTGCTGGCGATGTACTCTCTGATCTTGGGCTTGAGGCCCTTCTGGAAGAGGTACATCGCATCAGCAGAGCCCAGCTCCTCAATCTGGGAGGAGAGGTCTTCAAACTCCTCGATGTAGCGGGTCACAGAACCACGCTGCACGAGAGAGTATAGCTTGTCACGGGCAATGAGTTCAGCATTGGGGCTGCCGAAGCGGCGACGGAGGCGGTCCTTGAAGTCGTCAAACACACCTTCGCTCTGCTCGTCGAACCCTTGGCGGCGGTACCAACGGTACGCCTGGTCCTTTAAGCAGAGCTTGGCGGCGACGATGTGGTGGGTGGGGGCGACTTGGGCAGCATCGAGGTAGTCCTCGAGTTGCTGCAGCCAGTCCTCCACCGAGGAGGAGCGGCTCTTCCCAGTAAACACTGGGGCACGGAAGGTCTTGAGGAAGGCTTCCGGAAGTGGGCGGGGGTTGCTCATGGCAGGGGCAGGCTCCAGGGACAGAGAGGAGAGTCGGTCGGCAAGAGAGGCGGGATCCAGCTTGAGGATCTAGAAAGAGGACAAACAGGACGAAAACAAGACGAGGATTTCCGATGCTACCATGTAACGTCCACTACTGGGACGTTGGGGCAAGACGGGGAGGGAGGGGGTACAAGACAAGACAGGACGGGGCAGAACAGGGCGGTGCTAGGCTACTCTAGCGGACGGGTGAGCTCGGGGAGCACTTACGTTTATTCACGATAAAACCGAACTCCAGACAAACGGGGGGAACGGGGGCAACCCGCAGGTATACCCTGCGGTGGCCTGCCTGCGGTGCGTGAAAACGCAAAGCGCAGCACAGGTCACGACCCACTGCGCCGCGCAGTACGCGCAGTACGCGCAGCACAGCGTCGGAGATACCATCTCCTACACTCGATCCCAGGGCAGCACCTGGCCAATAAGATGCTCCAGTCGGAAGCAGTGACCTGGGCGTTCTCGATGGTGATTTGGGTGATGTCGGGGGTGGTCTCGGAGGTGATCGTCACGAATTCACCAGCTGGAAAAAGGATCGCGAGCCCGCGATGGACATCGACCAGATCGCCCGCATCGAACACGGCGTAGGGTCGAATGATCGCGTGATATTCTGGAGAGAAGGGGTGGAAGCTCTCGAGAACAAATCTTTCAGTAGCCGCTGTTGTGGTCATGATGGTTCAGCAACTGGCTAGTCGTTGGTAGAGGCCGAGAAAAAATGCTTTGCGAGAACGCGTCAATTGGATCTCACGCGAAAAGATCGTCCTCGTCAGGGTCTGTTTTGTGAATGGTGATGTGGATTTTTTTCTTGCTGGGAGCGAACAAAGACACCAGCTCGGATGTCTTCTTGATATCCGCGGGATGCTTTTTGGCTTCGGGCCGATAATGGTCCAAATGCGATCGCCAAAATCGCTCGCAGCCAACACGGAAGTCTTCGCGTGCCTCTGCTTTATACCAAAAGACACAGTCCATGAAGTTGTTCGAGGTCGAGCTATTCTTGATGACGATGCAGTTGTAGTCCCCGGTACACTGATCCATGATGTCGTTGAATAAATCCAGACTGGGGATAACGCTCGCATAATGCTCCCACAGCAGCTTACGGTTGATACGCTTGGGTTCTCGAAAAATGACCGAGTAGTCGATATTGCTTCTGAGATTCGGCGGGATTCCAAGGGGATACTGCATGGTCAAAGCGTAAAAGATATTGTAGTGTCTGCCGTTCATCAGGATCTCACACAGAGTCGGGTCGTTCTTCCAGCAATTCGCCGATGCCAGGCAGTCGTCCATGATGATAAAGACACCATTATCGACGGTCTTGCCCTCGTGTGAGACACGCAGACGCTCGGCTTGTTTGTCGATGATCTTTTTGACGATCTCGGATTGGTATCGTGGGTGGATATAGGTGTCTGGAATGAAGCTCGAAAAGAATGGATTCGCATGCTCCGTGCCGCTGAAAACGATGCCGCGTGGAATATCTTTGAGATGGTACATGAGGTCTCTGACAAAGAAGGACTTGCCGGAGCCACGCGGTGCAATGCAACACAGCGTCGAGTCGCGGCGAATGTCCGTCATTTTGAATTTCTGGATCTCGAGCCTGATGCTTGGTTGGGGAATGGGGGATGGGGTTGAGGCAGTGGTGTCGTTCTCCCGTTGAGTCGTTGTGGTGCTCGTCATGTCGATGCGCTGTACACTGGGAAAACAAAGCTGGATCCAGAACTACAAAAAAAATCGCGCTCGGTCACTATGACGAAAAATCAAAGTAAAGGCAAAAAGACGGTTACGTCTATACCAAAGTCAGCGTCTGCGATGATGGAAGCCGACACTAAGCCGCGTATCTTTACGATCGCCGATCTCTACGAGACGGTCGCCATCCCAGTCTCCGAGCCGACGGTGCGCATCAGCCCGTCGAAAAAATTGATCTACAGCAACCCCGGTGGAGACCAGCAAATCGCCACCGCATTCCACCAATCACGTAAGCTCAAATTCAAGAACAATGCCTTCACGACCCGCACCAACGCATCCGGCTCCAATAGCGGCTCCAAGAACATGGTCAAGATTTACAACACCATGATGTCCAAGGGTGTCTGGACGCTCACTGCGGCCGATATGGAACGCCATATTCGAGAACGCGAGGAATACTTCCAAACCCACGGTCTCGAAACCGAAGCCGAGGCAAACGAATATTACCTCATGACCTCCCCGATCCTGTTCAAGTACAGTGATCAGTCGATCAGTGATGAAGAACGTCTCGAGTGTATTCGGGAATACTTTGAAGCTGTGGGTATTGATGCTTTGGCTCTTACACCAGCGGATACCGCAGCAGCGTCCAGCAGTGGAAGCACCGTCGTCAACTACTCCATGAACTCGCACGGCTACGGTCTCACCGAGGCAGATTATCACTGTCGAAACTGCGACAATGGTCGCATGGCGATGACCGACGGGTTCCTCGTGTGTACCACATGCGGCTTCACCGAGAATGGGACACTGGACTACCAGATCACATTCAAAGACACGCTAGAAATGAACAACCGCCAGGCGTTCAGCTACAAGAAAAGCAACCACTTTGCCGAGTGGCTCTCGAGCATCCAAGGCAAAGAGAGCTGCAGCATTCCCGAGTATGTCATCCAAGGCGTACGCGATGAGATCTGCAAAGAGAAATGCATCGACCTGACCAAGCTCAACGGCACCCGCATCCGCGCATATCTCCGTAAGCTGGGCTACAATAAATATTATGAGAAGTATCCGAGTATACTATTTATACTTACAAACAAACCGCCCCTGAAACTCCCTCCGGAAATTGAGGCCAAGATGAAGAATATGTTCCGCCAAATCCAGGAGCCCTTTGAGAAAACCAAACCCGCGATCCGCCGCAACTTCCTCTCGTACAGCTATGTCTTGCACAAATTTTGCGAGCTGCTCGGCATGCCTGAAACGGCGAAACATTTTCCTCTGCTCAAAAGCGCCGAGAAACTCCGATCGCAAGACTGCATGTGGAGAGCGATATGCGAGGAGCTCGGATGGGAATTCATCCCAAGTCAGTGACCACGCATCACGATGTGGTTGGCCAGACGAACTCGCAGCTTTGGGCTCGCTTAGAATTCTTCTCAAGGCCACAAAACGTTCTGAGGAACGATGCGAGCTGACCTTCCACAAGACACTTGAACGTGACTGTCTTGTTTTCTATTGCGAATCCTCGCGGGTCGGTGGTCGGGTGTATCGAGAACTCTGAGGCTTGTTCTTCAAATGCTTTGATCAGAGCGGTGGTGACGGTCTCGTGTGTGTATTGGCCAGTTGGGATGATGATATCATACCGCCTTCCTGTTTCGTCAACGATTGGAAATATGTTGTTTAATGCAGAAACTTCGAATACACCATTCTCTGACATGATCACTGGTATGGTGGGCTCTGGTGCAGGCGCGAGTACCGGCTCTGGCACTGGCACATGCACTGGCACATGCTCTGGCACGGCTACATGCTCTGGTTCTGGCTCTGGTATTCGCGATCGCAGTGTGCCTACTTCGGATGTTCCGGTGCTGGCGATCACCTCGGATAGCTTGCGGATCAAGCTTTCGTCGTATCGGATGATGTCCATCTTGCTCTGGGGAATGCCGTGATGAGCGAGATATCCAGCAATCTCGCAGTGAACAAACTCCTGGAAGGACGATCCAATGTCAAATCCGGTAACGACAGCAACACACCGGCGGATCTCGGTGTAGACGTAATCCCGGTTCTGGGGCGACAGAAATGCGTTGATCAGGGTTGAATCTGCCATTTTTTCCAGGCAATACCGTATCACGCTATATTTGTAGATCCAAAATGAACGCGGCAAGTTCAAGCGACCAGACTCCGGTCAAGGGCCGAAAGCCCAAGGGAATCAAGAGCCTCTCAAAGAAGCTCAAGTCAAAGCGATCCAAACGAGTCACTCTCAAGAAACTCCCATCGAGCTCCAAACCCGGTGGGTCTGCATCGACAAAGCCCTTGCCCAAGAAATCAGCCATCCGCAAGCGAGCACGAGCTCAAATGAAAAAGTCGGTGCGGTTCAATAACAACCAGACCGTCCACTTTTCGAAAGCCAACGCGGTCAAGAATGTTGGTATATTGGAGGTGCATCATGAACCCGTGTTTGCTGGCCATGAAGCGCAATCATTGGGGGGTGGGGACTTTGGTGGGATTCGACAATGAAATTATCAGCCCACCAAGCGACGAGCAGCAGCATACCAAAACAATGGCAAAGGCAACTATAGCAACAATGACCGTAGTCGATAATGAAGCGGTCGTCGATGATCCGCTGCTGCTTGATGCAGATACCGGCTTCAATGGTGCCGGAATCGATGCTGGTGCTGGTGCTGGCGCTGGTGCCGAGGTGCTCGCGGACGGCGTCGGGTTGGATAGATACTGCTTGATGCTCTGCGAGCATTGCTGCGCTATATTTACCGCGCTGCTCCCTGGCGTCAGATTTAGAATGTTTGCACAGCAATTGATATCGACATTATTGGTGATTTGCTCCTTGTGGGCATATGGGCCTGTGTTGTCCTGGGGGGCTGGCTGAGTGAATGGAGGTGGTTCTGCAGCCAGATATCCGGCAGCATTCAGATCAGCGGTAACCTGTGCATCGGTCCGCATACACAGAGGGAACTGATAGCACCCCGACCCGGTGATTCCGCCCGGTTTACTCCAACCAGGCCCATAGTCGCTCGCACACCACCCAGCCGGGTCGGGGAAGCAGCCAGAGTGAACCGTTTGCTTGGTCTCCGTTGCCAGCTGCTGCTTCTTGGTGCTCCATGATGCATACTGCCCCGCCATGTTTACCCAGTCCTGATGTCTCTGCTGGGCAGCTTGCTTTTGCTGTGTCCAGACTGTATATGCTTGGCCAGCCTTTTGGGACATGGAAGTATTATAATTGCTTATTTGAACATTCTGGGTGGCTATGGTGTTGTATTGGTCTAATGCCTGGTTGCACTGTTGCAAGTAGTCGGTGGATACGCTGGTCATGATCCGCTTTCTGTCAATCCAACCGAAAAAATACAAAAGACTTCAAGGGGAACGCAGCAAGTCATCCAACATCGAGAGCGAAATCTCATTAAGACTCTTCGTGGCCTCTTTGAGGTGCGATTTGGTCATCTCAATTCGAAATGCAGTGTCTCTGACGAAGGATTGGATCTGCTTGAGCTTGTTGTTTGACAGGACGAGACCATCGCTCCCGTCTGCTTTGGGTTGCTGCGTGTGGGCATCCAACTTGTAGATCAGCATAACTGCTTGTCGGATGCTCTGGCCATCGAACCTGTTGTTCGACAAATACACGACAAACTTGCCACAAGGAAGCAACTCAATGTCCATGCTTGCCTTGTGACCCACAATGCCAGTGTAGAGGCTCACAAGGATACCATGGGAGCCGAGCCCGGTGATATCGCTGCAAAAGCGATCGACGCACTGACGAGCGACCGAGGCACCATTGAATTCGCCATGGGCCTTGACCTCGACGTGAATAGGTGGATGATCTGGATGGGTGATAGCGATATCACAGTGGTGTGCTTTGCTGCGAGTATCCTGGATGGCAAAGCCCTCGTCTCGATGGAAGGTTTCACAGAGAATATCGAGAAGACGGATCTCGCCCAGTTGGCCAATGACCTTGTTGGACGTCTTGGCGACCGCCCAATCATCAAAGCGGCCGGATAGGCGGGTAACGGCGCTATCGAGCTTCTCGAGCGATAGCGTGTATGCTGGGTCGATGGGGGCGGGCTGTGAATGCAGTCTCTGAATGCTCTGCATCAGCTCTCGTTTGAGGAGGGCGAGCTGCTGATCGAGAATGATGGGTTGTTGTTGCTCGTGTCGGGTTTGTTCACGCAGGCGAGAACTGAGGCATGCGAGCATCTCGGACATCATCAAACGCATAGCCGGTATTTCCGCGAGCTCACACAGAGCCTCGTCGAAAAAGACGACTCCTCCACGCTTGCGGCCAGTTTCAGTCTGGAAATGCTGGGCAATCTCTCCCACATCCACCCAGTCGCTGCTGATGACGGCGGACTCCATGGTTGCTGCTTGGGTCGTGCTCTTGATGGTTTCGGAGTCTTTACTGCGTTTTTTTTGTTTGTCCAAGACAGCCACAATGGATCGGACCCAATACAACGGCAAGCAATACCCACAATATATTGCTGGACGGCGCGTATACGGGGGGAATGTCGATGATAGCACCGACTATGGGGGGCCTGGAGTAGAACACCCCCACTCCTACTCCCATCGAACCAGTGCTCGTCCTGAACTGCCCTCAGAAGCCTTTCAGTGGGAGCAAGACCATGGCATCAATACACTCTCTGACGTGATCAATGGCGTCGACTTGAGCCTCGCAGACGATCGCACAGAAGAGACGACCCTCCCTGAACAAACAGAGACGACTGAGACTGATCAAACAGAGCAACCTGCATCGACATATCGATCGCGACCTGAACTTGACCACATAACTCAGATTTATCACATCCTTTATCCTGCGTATGAACGCAATCGCCAAGAGGCCTGGTCAAAGGCTGAGCAATGGGCACCAGAACTGACTGTGGAAGAGGCACACCGCCGGGCTTTCCGAGAGGCAAATTACAGAGCGGCGTTTCAGGTTGATCCGGGGACAATTTTCCAGGTTGATCCAGAGTCGGGTAACCGGGCTGAGCATAGGGCTCGACAACGGGCTCGGATAAATGATGCTCTTCGGGCTCAGCAACGGGCTCAGCAACGGGCTCGTATGAGAGGAGGCCAGCCTTTCATTGCTTGAAGCCAACTGCAAACAACGCAATCGCGACGATCATCGATGCCAGACACAAGCCAAGTCCGATGAGCGTTCCGTAAGGGATGTAGGACCCGTATGATTTCGTAAGGCCAACGGTGATACACGACAGCAACACAAATGAAAAGGCTATTCCGATGTATTCCCAGTTCATTTCGAAATCTTGCTTCTGATACCACAGAAAAAAACGCATTCGTCTTTTTCTGTGATCATCTGGCAGCTACGATGATTCGATATTACTCACAGGGCGGAGGCGCTGATACAGTCAAACCAGAAAGAAACGGGACAGTCACTTCCTGGCATCAGCGACACAGGTCTGCTGATCCGTAGACCCCAGTGGGCAGGTCGTGCGATTGTTTCCCGTCCTGGTTGGCAATCTCTTTGTTTTGGGTGGGTCCGGAAGCACAGTCTTGAATACACTCGGTCGATCTCCTGTGGCGATGATCGACTGGCATACCGAGATCATGTTCCTGGCTGCATTGATGTCTCGATCCCACAGCGTATGGCAGCTTGCACAGCTCCGGACAAAGTGTGGTTTCTCGATATCAAGATACTCGGGTGACTCGAGTCGCTTGGCTTCCCGACAATGTGAGCACACCTGGGATGTGTTGAACTCGTTCACCGAGCACACATGGATCTTGGAGACGGATTGGTCTGGTGATCGTCTCTGGTGGTGGTGGAATTGCTCAAAGTACTTGGCAAACCTGAGTCTCCTGGGACTGGATGCGTATCCCTTCCCCTGTTTCCAGGAGGCATTCCCAAAGGCAATCACCACTTCGGTCTCCTTTGGTGCCTGGTCGATGACTCGCTTGCACATCTCGTGGACGGTGCGCTGTCGCTTGCTGTGGAGATCGAGTCGCTTGACAGCCAATCCAATAAAAAACGGGACACCCGGGTTTTGACCATTGATCGAATATTTTGTTACCCAAAACCATCGCGCGCTGACCATGACCATTCGCCACACATCCGACTTTCGCACCGCCGCATTGCGATGCTACGATCTCATCCATAGCCTGCGTAAGGTCGCCTCCATATTCAGTGTATCCAAGAGCACCATCCATCGATGGCACCGAGGATGCAAGCTGGATGACCCATCCCGGGTCCCAGCTCGCAGATCCACTTTCTTCGAGCAGGCATGTCCAGTCATTCGCACCCTGATTGAACAGGACCCGTTCCAGACTGGTCCTGTGCTGCGATGCAAGCTCGAGTCCATCCTCCAGAGGAAAGTATCACTCTCACTCTGCCACACTGCCATCCAGCGAGCAGGTCTCTCACACAAGAGGGCAACACACCTCTACAAGTCCAAGCGACTGGATGAGCGAGTGGCACAGTTCAGGGACCAGGTCCGCTCCATCGACCCACGACGATTGGTTTTTGTCGACGAGACAGGGATCAGGAGATCCATTTTCTCTCTCTACGGATACTCACCGAAGGGTGCTCCGCTTCGCCAGCGCAATCACATGAAGCACAAGTCTGTCTCGGCTGCATTTGCCATCAACCACTCTGGTGTGCTGCATCGCATGTACATCCCCACATCATTCAAGACACACTCGATGGTCGAGTTCTTTGAGCGAGCGAGCTTCCCAGACGACTCTGTGATTGTGATGGACAATGTCAGCATGCACAAGACAAGGGCTGTCCTGGACTGCATCGAGCGCCGAGGATGGTCAGTGATCTTCACCCCACCTGCCTCGCCCGACTTCAATCCCATCGAGAACTTCTTTGGGATTGTGAAGCATCAGTACAGGAAGGCAGCAACGCTGAATGCCTCCGAGGGGTTCAGGATCGGGATGGTGACCCTGTTCGAGTCCGCCGTGCGGAGGGTGCTTCCAGATGTCTTCCCACGGCTGATTGAGCGCGCGATGCGTTTCTGGGCGTGAATCATACCATCGAAAAGTGCGTCAAATTCACCCTTGGTTTTTTCTTGCCTATGGGTAGAATCAACGGGGTGTCGAAATCGCGACAGATGCCTCCCCGCAAGAAAAAATCTCCTCCCGACCCAAATCCAGATCCTGGGCAGCCCCGCGACGAACATGCTGCCAAGAAACTAGTCATCAAATCGTGTCGTGCCTGTGGTCTGACCAACCATGTCAAGCCCTTCACCAAGAAGTGCAAGGCCCGAACCGAGTTGGCCCCCCCTTCTGACTCAGCGTCTGTCTTTGGGGCCGTTTGCCAAGCACCCCCTCCAGACGAGTCCAGTGAAGACATCGCTGTTCCGGCCCTCGTGGTCGAGATGCCTGCACCCAAGGTCCTGATCTGCCCGACCTGCAAACAGGAGGGTCATGGGAGAAGCAACAGCTCCAAATGTTCAGCGAACAAACCTCTCTGGAGCTCCACGTTGCCTGCCTGTGAACCAAACGAGTATGCCAAGGCCGAGTACTCGATCATCAAGTGCACTCTTGACGCCATCATCAAGAACGGCGCCTTGCACGACAAGATCGAGGAGACTGTCCGGGCCATGACACACGTGCAGTACGAAGCATCTCGGCTCCTGGAGCTGCATCTCAGGCGATGCTTGGAGGAGGGCATCACCATCCCCACTGTGTCGTCGAGCGATCCTTCGTTCGTTCGAAAGTGCTTCAACATGGTGCAGAGAGGAACAGTGGGTGCCAGGACGAACACCCCAGAAGATGACAGGCATCTCCTCGACACATATGAACTGTATCGAAGTACATGGAGCGGATCGTGTGCCCTACCTCCTGTAACCCTCCCAAAGGGCACTGGTTCACAGGTCCTCACATTGGCTGTCAAGACCTATGCAATCAACTGTGAGACACACATTCTCGATCGGTATTGGTCCCTTCTACGCCGATTCTGCAATCTGGCCCTGATTGCTCCCAAGGATGTCAAGCGACATACACACGTCGATGAGTGTATGAAGCTGATGGAGAATCCCCTCTCCGATACACTCCTCGGTGATCTGAGGAAATCCTTCGCCCACCATGCCGACCAGCTCTACATCTTTCGCTACAAAAGCCAACAGGACCTGTACAAAGTCGTACCAGTATTGGCCAGTGAAGTCTCTCGCCTGACCCACCGAAAGGAGACACTGTTCGTGGCGACCATTCGAAACAGAATCATCCCCAGGCTCGTGAGGGATACTGATGATCTGAAAGGAGAGTGTGGACGACTGAATGAGGAGATGTGTCGCGCTATCGAACGAAGGCAGTCGGATCAATACAACGCACTCCATACCCAGCACGAGGAGGTGGACAAGAAGATCGCTGTGAACATGAAGCGGATCAAGCGCCTCACCGACCGGCTTGCCCAGACCAAGAAGCGCCTCAACATCCCTCGAGCACAGTGCACCTTGGTCCCGCTCTGCGATGCCAGAGCAAAGTATGTCAAGCTCGATACCAAAGCTATGTATCAAATTCTTGGATCTCAGACTGGCACTGGGCTCAAGTGGGACGACCTGAAGACCAAGGTCAATGGCACCACAAAACAAGAGATCTTCTGGCGAAACAACTTCAAGCTGGAATCGAGACTCTTTGGTGTCAGGAAAGAGGGGAAGCAGCTCTTTGGTTGCGAGATCAGCACCGATGGGGTCGGGTGCTCGATCACCACACTCAGATATAAGATCCTGGAGAAGAAGGGCCCCGATGCCAAGCCGGTACCCAAGACCAAGGTGAACACACTCACTCCCGAGCAGAAGATCCAGTCCGGGGTCGGTCCCATCGACGACTCTCGGACCACATGGATCGGGATCGACCCTGGAGTGGGATCGATCTTCACCGCTGTCAATCGAGCACCCGGTCAACCATCCATCCAGGAGCAAGACGGTGTCAAGGTGACCAAGGCACATGCGTGCCAACGAGAAGATCGTGTCGTTCTCCAACAAGGAGTACCAGCATCGAACTGGCACCAGTCAGGCGACCAAGTGGATCCAGAGCACCCACAAGGCCCTTGATCTGCAGGAATGGATGAGCACCACACCAAGTCCCAAGATCCCTGGGTTGGCTTCCCTTCCTGCGATACATTCGCCATGTGTTCGATGGAGACATGCTGGACAAACAGCTGTACTTCAGCCTGACCCGGCGGACGGCGATTCAAGCGACTCGATCTCCACAGCAAGCGACAGCGCACCGTCCACGAGATGTGCAAGCAAGTCATTGACCAGGCAGCAAGGGAGACCGAAGTGGTGATTGCCTTTGGGAATGCATCCTGGAAACAGGGGAAGGGATATGCCTCCAGTCCCAGGAGACTCAGGTTTGCCAAGTACTTTGAGCAGTTCCACCACCACCAGAGACGCCCACCAGACCGAGCCGTCTCCAAGATCCATGTGTGCTCGGTGAATGAGTTCAACACATCCCAGGTGTGCTCACATTGTCGGGAAGCCAAGCGACTCGAGAAGGTCGAGCATCTTGATATCGAGAAACCACACTTTGTACGGAGCTGTACAAGCTGCCATACGCTGTGGGATCGAGACATCAATGCAGCCAGGAACATGATCTCGGTATGCCAGTCGATCATCGCCACAGGAGATCGGCCGAGTGTATTCAAGACTGTGCTTCCGGACCCACCCAAAACAAAGAGATTGCCAACCAGGACGGGAAACAATCGCACGACCTGCCCACTGGGGTCTACGGATCAGCAGACCTGTGTCGCTGATGCCAGGAAGTGACTGTCCCGTTTCTTTCTGGTTTGACTGTACACCGTGTGATCGCTCAGTTGATCAGTGTCCAAAGCGATTGAGTGTATATAGATGGGAACCAGGTCACAATGCTAGTATGGGCCATGCGACATGCATAGGTATGCCCGGCGTAGCTGACAATATCACCGACTTTGTAATTTATTCCGGTTGTCCATGGAGTCGCGTTGCTGGGTGGAGCAGGAACAGGTGCAGGTGCAGGTGCAGGCGCAGGTGCAGGAGCAGGTGCAGGGGCAGGAGCCGGAGCAGGCGCAGGAACAGGTGACGAACCTCCGAGAATGCTGTGGGCGGTGTTAATAAAATCAAAGTCCTTCTGAATGATCATAGACGAACAGGTGAGACCACCTGTTTGAGAGCTCTGGTCTCGCTGCAGAGCCCAGTATGAAAATCCAGCAAGTCCATTTTGCTTGATATACGAGCACAGTGTTTTGCAGTCATCGAGAGTAAACACAGATCCATCGTCATTCCTACCGATCATCGGGATGGGCATCATCATCTTATATAATTGCTGGGGCGAAAACGTTGGATACACTTGAGCAAGCTGGCCCTTCAGCCCTTCCAGAGCATTAACTGCAGCACCCCCCATATCTGTTGATACGGATTCATCGTAAAAGTCCATGGTCATTAATCGAATGGTGTCGATTCGGATACCGGATGAAATAAATGTCTTCAAACAAGCCAGGCCATTGTTGTCGAGGCC